CCCCCCCCCCCATTCACATACTAAGTAGTTGCCTTCCAGCAACCGTTGCACAAGATTTCTTGTTGGAGTCAGTCCTCTGAAGATTGGATCTCAACTTTCAGTCCATCTGCAGCTGCCTGAGAACAAGTCTTGAATATTTTGCTCCAATTGCTCTAATGTACTAGTCATTGATTTCTTGTTCACTTGGCAAACTGACCATGGCAAGTGGATGGTTATGAAGCACTGAAAGGAGGATCCTCATGGGAAACTTGAGCCATTTGTACTACATTAGTCTGGATGTAAGACCAAATACGATAGCTATTCCCCTAGCAACAGATCATCTAGTTCTGTACCAGAAGAGCACCAGTCCAAGACAACAAGTTGCGTCTACTTCCCTAGGCTTAGTAACACTGCACTTCCTTAATGCCTGAAATAACACTTTGGTTCTGAATTATCCTCTAGATTTTCCACTGAGTCCTAGACAGACACCACATACCTGGTGGCCTCCACTATCTTCTTCTGCCATATTGACTGTCAGGACTCCTACTTGTTCTGCTTGGGTAAGGTATAACCATCCACCCTGGGCCTCCTCCAAGAGCTCTACAAGTCACAATCCTTAGTATAAAATCCATTTGCTGTTTTGGACCAGGAGCAAAAAGGTTGTAAAAAAGACAATTATTTTTGGGAATGAGTATCCTCAAGTTTATTGAGACTTGTAAGTGGTTTCATTTAATAAAATACTATGCAGAATCAGTACTACAAACACCAACTAGTAGAAATGTGTACTATGAATGATTACTAGTACTGTAGTACCACCAGGTAGAACATACCAGTCCCAGGAAACTTCAATAATGACACAATGGGCTTCAGCTTCAGCAAGTTTTTAAAGACCTACTAGTGATGAAATGGCAATACAGTTACAGCAATTTGTACTAGCACCACCACCAATGTTCATTGGTGGTGCATCATGGAAGCATAAAAGTTCATTCCATATACTATGCTGAAGGTGATCTCTCTGTTATTATAAAATACCTGACCAAAGTTGCCCAATCTCTACAAATTCAAGAAGCTCAAAGGCCCTGCTGGGGAACCCAATTATCACCACCAGCAATGTTACTTCTGCTTTTGGCTCATCTTATAGAGTGGAGAGCCAAATCTATGTACAAGTTTAGATTTTACTAGGCTCTTATTTTTGTGTGTAATGACTAGTTTGACTAAAAAATAAATTTGTACACAATGCACCTGCTCAGTAGCTAGTGTTGAATTTTTGAATTGCACAAGTTAAGTTTTGTGCACACATGGTGCTGGAGATCATATTTTGATTTTTTTCTTGACTTTTTAATCCCACAAGTCATTGCACAGTAAAAAGAGGGCCCAAAATCAACACACTGTTGAAGATACACATAGAAAATTAAGTAAGGGTCAACTCACTTGAACAGCTGTATCTTGATCCCCACCAACAGACGCTTCAGAATGATAGGCACATGGATCCAAACCCAGTTGCACCAGTAAAAGACAAATGTTTTGGAGCGTGGGTCAGAGTGTTATAAATTCATATTATTGTCTGAATATTTTCATACTTTAAATGCATGACTGGATTGTGCTATATTTTTTTCTCTGCCCACCAGCCACTATATGATATGACAAGAACAGTAGTAGTGTTCTGGTACTAGTACTGTTTTAATCCTGTAAGATATATCCTTCTGAAGATTTGAGAATCCAGCAACAGCAGCCTATCTGGTGTTCTTGTTATTACACCTCATGGAAAGCAATGACAAGAATAGCACTCAGTTATATCAACTGTCTATTGTATTGGTGGTAGAATTGAAGGCAAAAAGGTATCATGACCCTTTCCAACTTGAGAGCATCATAAAAAAGCAGACAAACTAGATTGCATCACCAACAAAGTCTGAAAGTGACTCTTTGAGTTTAACATTAGTAGCTTCAAGGTCAGAATCTTGACACTGATTACAGATATGCCCCATAGAGGTTCTTGTCATTTCTTCAATGCTATAACTCAGGTTTGAGTGCAATCACCACTTTATTCCATCAACTGATTCAGAATAGGATTGTTTTATGAAAATGCCACCTCTCATAATTTGATCTGATTATAATTCCAATTTATTTACTTTTCTAAAGAGAATATCACCCTCATCATGACTCAACAACAATGTTGCTGGAGATTTGATAGAATAGCAAAATACAAGCAGTAAATTATTACTACTCCCCAAAATTTGTTGTAGTACAACTAGTAGTACCTAAATATCTGAAACAATAATAGTTTTGAAAGCTAAACACTTTCAACAAGCTGCAACAAAATGCTGTTCATTTTTGTTGAGTTGTCTTCTATTAGTAGTAGTAAAAAAAGATCACCACCAAAGAACAAGAAAAAAGAGCAATGGACAAAATAGTCATCTCTTACACCACACATAACAAATGCTACAGCTGATACTATGAAGAAAGCACCACCAAACTTTTGCTTGGCTACGATGTTTTCAAACTTTATGTAAGAGCAGTTGCTGTGGATTGAATTTTATCATACAGGAGAGAAAGCAAAGACTTCAAATTAGCAAATGAGAGGATTGCATACATTGTATGTCAGTATTCATTCAATTCACTATCTAAGTAAGGAAACAGATCTTAGTTCTTGAAACTGCAATCGCATAATCCTCCATTTATCTCATGATTGACTGCATCAAACTTTACACAATCCAAGAAATGAATGGCTCTTTAAAATTCTATATTTATTTTAATTGTATCATTATGATACACGCTTTTCATTCGAAACAGTATTCTAGCTTTTTTCCCAATAACGTTTTCGATAGCAGTTCGTTTTAGTTCACATCCCAGGATGTAGTACCAAGCCATCCAACACTTAAAAGACTCAAAAATTAGGCCGCACTTTCTACAATAGTTTGGAAAATTTCAAACATCGAGATGTAGAGTATTTCAAGGCCTCGAATGGTAAAAACACTGACTCTTTACAAACGAGCTGCAGCATTCATCAAGCTTGTAAGTCCTCGCGCAGCGGCAAAGTGTGGTTCTTCCTTTTTTTCAACAAATTCAACGCGCTGGTTTGTCGATGATGAAGAAGGCAACAAACGTGCCATTTTTTCTTGACGACCTTTTGCCTTGAGTCCTCCCTGCTTGGTGCATTTCCGTGCACGCTTAGCGTCCTTCTGCATTGCATACTTTTCCCGTTGACGTTCTCGGCATCGTACGCACTTCGTCGCGGATCCCTTTTCCCCAAATGCAGCCCATTGGCGAAAGTTTTTGCACCCTTTGCACCATTTGATTTCCAAGCCATCGGTCATTACCCAAACTGTGACATCACACGCAGTACACAACCCTTTATTTTGTCGAGGAATAATATGCGCTGTACCGTCGTCACTACTAATCGCAGCTCGTCCCTTTTCCATCAAACTTGATGCGGAACAAACACGGAGCTTGCCGCACATGACACAATGTTTCTTGCCTGCGATGGCTTTCGAAGCACTAGAGTCTCCAGTAGCGATGCCACGTGACTTCGACAAGTAAGCAGGGTAGTTGACGAGTCTGTGAAAATCGGGGAGGACCACTTTCTTGGTAATTTCGGCTTTCCTGTAGAGTCAATCACACGGTCAATAAAACGATTGAAGAAGTAAGATTTTAGGAAATAATTGGTAGGTGCTCTCTCTATGAGAATTACAACCGTTGGATGCAGTTTTTGTGATTTGCAATTCAACTTACCCCCAATGCTTTGACGGAACGGGTTCTTGGAGCGGAACACAACGGTTGGCACTGACTGGCTTTCTGTCAGCTCCAGACTCACTTGTAGTCGCACTATTCACACATTGTTCTAATTTCGAATCAAGGTTTTTAGTACCGTTACCCGAAGATTTTGTAGGTGGTGGGAAAGTTGCAGCTGGAATGTGTGCGTGGGGAGTCACAAGACCTGGTATGTGCTGTCCACCGCGTTGATTCAATGGATGAGGATGAAATGCGGGAGGGTATGGATAAAAACCATGGACAGGATGCCCATGAAATTGAGGAAGCATTAACGGAGGCGCAGTACTGGGAGGAACGTGAGGAGGATATCCAGGATAAACCATAGGATAGGTACCGTTTGGGCCAAATGCATGTCCTGCAAACGAATGCAAATGAGGGTGAAATGTTGTCGGTACAACAGCACTTGGGTGAAAGCCTTGATGTGGAGGAGTATAAGTATGMTGGTTTGTGGATGCCAGCTGTCGCTTTCCGCTGGTCGTGGCCGTCCCCTTCACTTTTGACGTTGGTGCAGAGGGAACAGGAATTTTATTTCTCATAGCTGTCATGGCAGAAGCAGCTGCAACTGCATCGATGGCGCCAGAATGTTCCGTATTATTCGGGGAACTAGTCTTTGCCGACTCAGCCGATACCCCTGAGCTCTCTTCGATTTTCACTTTTTTTGGTGTAGATTGTGATGTTTTCTGACTCCCAGTATCAGCTTTCGTGGCTCGCTTACCTAATACAAGGGAAGAGCCACGGCGAATAATGGATGGACGCCCAGTTCCCGCGATAAAAGGAGAATCTGATCTTAAATCTTTTGAAGTTTTATTTGAAAATTCCTCGTCCTCACTCTGAGAAACTCGTCTCTTGACCAAAAGCGGCGAATGGGAGAGACGAGCACTGGCTAAAGTCAACACAGGAGACGAATTACTCTTTTGGACGTCAACGGTTGACGAACTATTCGTAGTGGAAGTAATCTGACCAATGCTTGACGATGGACTAATGACATTCTTGACGATTCGGCCGGGCGGAGGAGACGACGCACTCTGATAAGAATCAGTGCCAACGGAATCGAAAGACGATTCTACAACGGCAGCTGAGACTTTTTTAGCCATTGCAACGACAGGATCAGAGGAAGCCAAGAAGTTCGGTCTCGCTACCTTGATAGGCAATTCGTCTGTTCGAGGTGGTGAGATCTCCATGCCTTGCATCGTACCAACGCCAGAATTTTCGATGCGTTTCTGTTCCGCCATGTCGTCCTGTAGGTGCGGCATCCTCTGTTTTAGCACCGATATGATAAACAGTCGACGCAACTGCCGTAGAAACCAAGCCTCGAAATCAAAAATGTGGGGATGTCGGTTTTATTCCAAAAAAATCGAATGAGGTTTTGGCGCGCTATCGTGAATGTACTTAGACGAGAAAGCGTTGAGAACGGAGCGTTGGCTTCTCCCATCGGGAGTCTGTCTTTTGTTTCTTAGAACTGCGCACCCTGCCGGCGCTTCCGTTTCGGCGATTTTGGCGGCTAGAAAATTAATGATGATTTTTGATTTGAAGTGAAACAAACAAGACCTCTGTCGGTACTGGTATTCATGAAGTGCTTCATAATACTAGAGTTCTACGAAGTACCGTACAATACGTACCGTACTAGTCTTTTGCAACTAAAATTGCGTTCTCATTACTGCCACTCCGGCTACGACAAAATGTAATAGGCCCTAACCCCCAAATTGAACGGTACCATGCAGGTACCTCATTTTTGCAACCGATATTGCAAAACGTTCAAAATTGGTGCGTAGGCTATAGTACGCTTACTGGACCCACTCTATTTACCACCGTACTCACATGTTCTACATATTTTGTGGTAGGGATTCTACTGTGCAACCGTATTAGCTCTTCC